GTTTATTAAATAATCAATTAAAAACGAAATAATTTAATAGGTTTATTAAATAATCAATTAAAAACGAAATAATTTAATACGTATAGTAAATCATTTAATAGGTTTATTAGCTTTTAACTTCTGAATGAATTATAACAACTGTCTTTATATTAGATAAAATTAGTGTTGAGTCTGACATCTTGACAAAAAAAAATGGTTTGTGTGGATCAGATGTTTCTTTGTTTGTTTATTAAACTTTGCGCAAAGCTACTCGAGAGCTATCTGCGCTAGCCGTCCCTAATTTTGAAAAGATAGACTAGAGAGAAGGTGGCTAGTCAACACCGTCAACTCTTAGGTTACTCTTTACCAACGAAAAGTGATCCGATCACATTATAACGCCCCCACAGCGGAAAGGACAACCGTGATCAATGACGGGATCCCAACCCGAGACCCAAACACTAACCCAACTTATCAACACAGCAACACTAACCCCACCTATCAACACAGCAACACTAACCCAACCTATTAACACAGCAATACTAACAAACCTAACGACACAGCAACACTAATCAACCTAACGACACACCAACACTAACCAACCTAACAAAACAGCAACACTAGCCCAACCTAACGACACAGCAACACTAATCAACCTAACGACGCACCAATACTAACCAACCTAACAAAACATCAACACTAGCCCAACCTAACGACACAGCAACACTAATCAACCTAACGACGCACCAATACTAACCAACCTAACAAAACAGTGACACTAACCAAACTAACAAAATAGTGACACTAACCAACCTAACAAAACATCAACACTAACAAACCTAACAAAACAATGACACTAACCAACCTAACAAAACAGTGACACTAACCAACCTAACAAAACAGTGACATTAACCAACCTAACAAAACATCAACACTAACCAACCTAACAAAACAGTGACACTAACCAACCTAACAAAACAGTGACACTAACCAACCTAACAAAACAATGACACTAACCAACCTAACAAAACATCAACACTAACCAACCTAACAAAACAGCAACACTAACCAACCTAACAAAACAGTGACATTTACCAACCTAACAAAACAACGACTTTGGCTAACCTAACGACACACTAACATTAACAACTCAGCTAATTCAACTTTACCAAACAGCAACACTAACCAACCTAACAAAATACGGACATTAACCCAATCAAATGGCACCACAACACTAACCAACCTAACAAAACAGCAACACTAACCAACCTAACAAAATACGGACATCAACCCAATCAAATGGCACCACAACACTAACCAACCTAACAAAACAGCAACACTAACCAACCTAACCCAATCAAAAGACACAGCGACACCAGCTAAGACTTTCAGTGTTTTTCAAGATATCTTGCATTCCAGAGTTTCAGTTGAATAGAATCAATACATTTTGACAGCAACCGGCTTGCTTCACGAATCTCGGAGAACTGTTTACGTCTGTGTATGCAGTTCTAAAGTTAACAATCCCATAGAGACTTCTCACGGCGTCTATTGATATGCTAATAACGTACTCCAGGAAAAATACAAGTCTGGTATTGAGTAGCTTCAATGCAGTATCATAGCACACTTGACAATTGTAAGATTTAAATATTGAAATTGATTCGGTAAAGAAAGAAAAGTATTTCTGGAATATGTATGCTTAAGAAATCTAAAGGCTGATTAAATATATGAAATATTATTGAGAGAATATCTTATAAAGACAACTGTGTATGTTGTTAAAGATTATCAAACCATGTTTGATATCTCGGTCACTTAAGTTTGTTCAGGTTTTTATTAAGCAGTTCTACCCATAGACTTATTAACTGTTGTTTTTTTTGGGGGGGGGGAGGACTCCTATTAAGCACAATGGATCTTCCCAGTGTAGTGATCGAACCACAAATTTTAGCATTATAAAACTTTCCATCTTATAATAAGAGGAAAATCCATTAAAAGATAAGGATAATCCATACCATCGTAATGTTCTGGTTGTTGTTAAGCGCCACCTGGGAGCTAACGTGTACAAAATGCGGTAAAATTATCCCGAAAGACTTATTAAAAAAAAAAAAAAAAAAAAA